ACTTACATTGACAGTGAGGGTCGCAGCTCGGTGCTGAGGTTGGCGCTGATGGAGTGGTAGAGGAGGTGCTGGCTGAAGCGGGCGGGCAGGGGCACCACGTCGATGGACGACAGCTGGTGGTAGTAGTTGGCCTTGCACACTGCCTCGCCCATGTCAGACACTTNAGTAGTTGGCCTTGCACACTGCCTCGCCCATGTCAGACACTTGCAGTGCATTTTTGGAGGTCGAGTGGTCCTTTTGATTGATCTCATTCGAGGACTGCGGGTGCCCTGAGTTGTGCTCTTGATCCTGATGTTCGAAGCTGTCGAAGCACAGCGGGCCCCAGCGGCCGTGGTGGCGGATGAAGAGGATGCCCTCGGCGTTGAAGTGCTCGCCAATGTCATGGTCAGAATTAATTGAACCTTGACCTTCACTTTTTGAGCGAATTGCCCTCCTCGCCAGCGTGCTCGGATCCACCAGCGCTATACAGCCCGACTCGTCGTCCCCGTGAAGGCAGTCAACCTCGCCGTTGCACACTTTGCTCATCTAGATGGGGGAAGGGGGGGGGAAAGAATTATGTTGTAAATTGAAATTCGAGCAATTTTTGGGGAATTGTTCTTTTCCGCTTCTTCACCTCGATGCAGGCGCTCTGGTGGCCGCGGCAGAGGAAGCTGCTGCCCGGCGGGCACTCGCCGCCGCCGCACGCCTCGTCGTGTTCGTCACTCTGATCTTTGCAGTCTAATTTTGAGTTAGCCGAATGAGCCGGAATTGAGAATCGAAATCGGAGCACAAAGAAAGAAAGAAAGAAAGTAGGGGAAAAGTGATTGTCAAGTTTTTTAATTTGAGTACCAAGTTCGTACCGAGAACTCCATCGCAGAGCTTGTGCCTGGAGGCGGCGTCGGCGCGTAGGTAGTCGGCGCAGCGGCAGTTGGCCTCGTCGCTGCCGTCAGAGCAGTGGACCCGTTTTCCGTCACAGTGCCCCCATTTGGGGATGCACTCGCCCGAGTGGGTGCACCTGAAGTCGGTCTGATTTGGACAGGGAGTTTGGGTTGAGGTTGGGTTGTTTGAGGTTGTAGTTGTTGGGGATTCTGTAGTCACTGGGTCGTCTGGGAATTAGGGTTAGTTTGGGGTTGAAAATTGTGCATTTCACAGTACCTGGAAGTTGGGTAGTGGTGGTAACGGCGTTGATGTAGTTGATGAGATCTTCCTCGAGGGAAATGTTGCTGCCAGTGCTGCTGCTGCTGCTGCTGATCACAGACGGTTCTTTGGTGGTTGGGAGTTCATCCTGCTCTGGACTTTTGTCTAGAAGGTCAAGGTCCACTGCTTCGTCTTTCTCTTTTTCCTCCTTTTCCTCGACTTTGTTGAGCAGCTTATTGTTGAGCTGCAGCAGCAACTTTTTGGCGATTCGTTTTGAGGCGCCGGAGGAATTGAGCGCCGAGCCGTCGCTCCCTACGCCGCCGTCTCCATCTACCGTTGAGGAGTAGAGGAGGAATTCATCGTCGAGCAGAAATTCATTTGCTGGTGCTGAGGGATGGTTCGGGGGAATGGAAGGTCGGAGGGTTCCTGATGCTGCTTCCAGCTGAAATTCAGTTAAGGGAATTTTGGGGGTGACAATTGGGGAGGAGGAAGTTGTGGGGGGTTTTTTAGTTGTTGTTGTGGTTGTTGTGGTGGTTGAAGTTGTACTCGGTTTTCGAGTTGTTGTTGTTGTTGTTGTCGTCGTTGTACTGGTCGTACTTTTCACAGTGGCCTTTGTTATCTTTGGAGCTTTAGTTGTAGTGGTGGTGGTCGTTGTCGTCGTCGTTGTACTACTAACACTGCTCACTTTCACCGGTAACCTTTGCTTTGGTGAACTACTTTCAGTCGTGGTGGAGATAGTAGTGGTCGACAAAGTTGCAAAAGTCGCACTTGTCGATGAAGAGGGCAATCGACTGCTGCCGCTGCCGTTGCCATTGCCAGCTCCAGTCTGATGATCATCCACTGGATAGACGGTGACGAAAGTGGTGGCCCACTTATGACCAGCTCCGCTGCTCGGTTTATGACTGTTTGAGTTGACATTGAAGGTGTTGGCTGCTGATGGGGAGGGAGATGATGAGGTTGAGGTTGTTGAGGATGAAGAGGATGCCAGCACTGCTCGATTTTCCTTGTGTTGGTCATTTGAACTATCGATCTCCTCACCACCTCCGCCATCATCATCCCCTCTCTTCAGCTGGCCAACCCGCGCAGTGTAGGCCGCCTCGGTGATCGTCTCGAGGTGCGCCACCTTGACGC